CTCTGAGACATTATCCCCTCGGGATTCTAGAGCTCAGGCCTCTCAGATCTCCGGATCTTCCCCGCCAGTCCCCTCTATTAGGCCGCGCGATAAACAGCATGCTCCTCCTATGAACATGCTTGCCACTCAGGCACCACAGGAACTGAGATCGCTGACTTGCACGCTTTCTCTTCCTGATAACTTCCTGACCTCTTCTTCTTCGGGGTATGTCACAAGCACGTTCTCAAAACTCAGAAACTTCCGCGTAAGCACAACGCAAAGACTGTCCAAGCAGTAAGGGAGTCGAGGTAACACCCTCGGGAAATGCTCTACTCCGCACCAGCTGCATTCGAGTAGCAACTCCCCCTTGCGTTAGCGCCCCGCGATGCAGGGAACATCTATTCATCCATCCAACAACGCCACCTCTGGCCCTTGGGCCGGTGTCTTAGCCTGTGCCGTTCTCTTATGTCGATCCCCATGGTCAGATAAGACTATAACCTCGCTCATGACCCCGATGAGCGGGGGCAAGACGGCTTCTTGTCTAGTGCCTCACGAAGCAAGAAGTAAAATCTCTCTGGGAGATGTCCACCAATGGCCAAGCTATCAGTTCCTCCGGGAGCGTATATCCTCCTATACTGAGCAAGCGTTGTACTCTCCCGGATGCACGCTCCAGTCAGGACAGGACCCCATACCTTAACTCCCCCGGCCGAACAGCAAACTCCATCGGATGCGTAATGTAAACAGGGTGAGCTTCTATATATGTTTAATCTAACCGTCTCACGGTTCATTTCCTTCGGAAGCATAATTCCTTCGACCAATAACGTACTCCCCCGGATGCGAATAAGGTTGAAGTGGACATCTATTAAAGCTGCTCTGCAGCTCGCTTCTCCGGAAGTGTAACTCCCCCGGCCAAACGACGTACTCCACCGGATGCGTAACATAGATTGGGCGAGTCTCTCTACATATACTCAGTCCAACCGTCTCATGCTTTGTTTTCTCCGGAAGTGTAATTCCTTTGACCAGTAACGTACTCCCCCGGATGCGAGTAATGTCGGAGTTGACATCTATTAAGTCCGCCTCGCGGCTTGTTCTCTAGAGGTATAACTCCCTTGACTGACAACGTCCTCCCCCGGGACATACGAATAAGGTCGGCATTGAGAGTCCTCTTTAGACTACTCCTTCAGCCAGGATCGTACTCCTTCATGATATGCGCCAAGGTCGAAATTGACACCCTTTCCTACTTCCCCGGAAGTCTGGACCGTCCGGCTAGTACCACACTTTATCCCTAATTTTTACTATCTTCAAGAACTTAACTTCGCCCAAACTAGAACCGTATCCCCTGCGATATGTGGCATGGTCGTCGCATCAGTTTAGCCGTTAATGGCAAACAGTTTAGGGAACCTGATTATCCATGTTCATTTTACAGGATGCCGATGAGGATTCGACTTCCCGACTCATCTCTCGATGTGTCGTAAAGGGCAACTGTTGGGACCGATTTTACCGGACCTAGGGAGGACCCGACACGTAGAAAACTAAACTGTCCTAGACGGTGACACACGCCAGGCTAGCTCGGCCGAGCCACTTCCGCGTACTGTTCCCGAGCAGTTGGCGAGCTTCCTCAGACACGCAAGAATCATCACCACTACCTGCTCCATTGGCACGCCGAATGGAGATGACAGGACTTGGAGACCACCAGTATAAAAGGAGAGAGGCCACCACACAAGAGAGAGGTTCGGCAGATCTAGAACCCCTCTGAGGGAGGAGGTGATCAACTGTAATCTAGTCAGCCGGCCCCGGCATACAGCATGATCGAAGGAGAATCCTCTATTCTCCCAAGTGAATGGCTCCTAGGATAAGTTTTTCTCGACCCGGAACCTTGCTTTTATACTAGTCACATCTTCTCCCTTTGCTTAGAATACCCGTTGAAACACTCGTAGACAAATAGTAGTCTCGATCTCCGGACAAAACTTCTCACCCCTAACCCGTATAAATTCCCTCTTAAGTACTTGTTTTCGGTAAGACATTTATTGACTTAGACATCGGAGAATCTTCAGAAAAAAAAACTCCTTTCCAGTCTTTTCGGAGGCCCGATTGACCACTTGTATAGTGTTTGCAAGATATCACATTGCGATTCTCCCTTAACCAGAATTCGAGCAGACTTCCACCCCGAAACGACTGATCATCTTCCCTCGAAAAACGAAATTTGGAAACACAACTCCACTTCTCAACGAATCAATACTATCTCGTAGCATTCCAAAATTTACTCCAAACACTATCATTAAAAAATAGAATACACATCGCCGACAGAAAAAGATATTACACCATATAAATAAGTTCGTGTCAAGCATTACAGTCGTAATGATTATAATTTTGGAAGGACCTTATCAAATTCCAACTACTAGACGTGTATGATGTAAGAGACTAAGAGCTATATAATAAGAATTAAAAAAAAACATAAATTGGAGAGAAGTGATCTTAACGCGTCTCTCTTAAGACCAGAACTTGTTTTTTCTTTATAGCTTCTTTAGACCAAAGTTGTTACAATAACTAATAACTAGGTGGTGACTTGTGTATATACGCAAGTTTATATCTTATTATTTATTTTAGATTTATAATTAATATAATATTTTATGTTAAATATGTTGATAATATAATTTTGAACTTGTTAATTTATAGTATATTATTTCATTTATAAGATTAAATTTTATTTTTATTTTCTTATAAATTCACATATTAAAATTTTAATGAATTATATGTTTTTCTTAAATTTATATTGCCTTTAATTTATATGTCTTTTTCAAAAAAATTATCTTCTTTTTTCTTTTCAAATATAATAGTCTTTTCTCTTTCAATCATCCTTTAATTAAGTATATACATAAAAATTAATCGATGTCCTTTTCAAGAAAAAAAAATTAATTTCGGTAATACATATTCACAATTATTGCTTTCATTAAAGTAAAACAAAATTGTAAACAAAATTTATTATATATTAAATGAGTATCTGCCACATAAGAATTTATAATATTAATAAATAATGGTAAATTCTTTAGGAACCTTTTCTAAACTTCGCCACTGCTGTGTTTCTGATGCAAATGCATATATATCCTCGTTGACTTTGGTCTCAAAATCGGTGGACGTAGCCAATAAACTTAAATCAGCCACACCAGGTTTTTGTGGTAAACATAGAACTTTGACATGGCGCGGCTGAACAGTATTTGACAAAGAAGACCTATAGAAGTAATAAATCCTTACGTTGGTGTCACGGTAGTTACAAATGGGCATATCATACAAAAGGAAGGATTCGATATCGCCAACCTGTAAGTACATGTGGTAGATTCAGATACCGCTTTGTTGTTAGGGACTGAAAATAGAGAAATGTCACCATTCCTTATAACGTGAAACTCGAATTGTCCAATCAAAATCTGTTAGAAAATTTGAGAATGATTAAATTATTACAATTAAAAATGACATGTTGAATTGCAAGTGTAAATAAACTTGCGTATAATCAGTGAAGAATGAAGAAAAGCAAGTGAGGTTAAACATTCAAATAGTAGTTATAAATAAGATGAATTTTTGTAATAAATTATTATTGGACACAGAAAAACATATTTAATGAATGTTTGATGATTTTGAGAAGAGAATGAAAGAAATTATAAATATCAAATGTATCAAAAAATTAGTAATAGTTAAGATAAATAAATACTCCATGTTACCATATGACATGCTTGTGATCATACTTATAGTATATTTTATTATTATAAGTAATATTATTGTAAGTTGACTAAATTTAAGTAGGAAAACTGGGAAGACATATTATATTTTCGGATGACTATAAAAAGGAGGTGTGATTATCTTTTATTTACCAACCAAACAAATTTTACCATGTTACCATATGACATGCTTGTGATCATACTTATTAAAGTTGTCTTTTTTTTTTCACGTAGACTTAGAGTCTTGTATGTCATCAACATGCAAAACATTGAGTGGAGTTTCAAAATATCCAGAAGTTTATTAGAAGTATTCGTTTAGAAAATATTTTATAAGAGGATATCAAAGAAAATGAAGCTGTTGGTTTATTTAATTTCTTCTACTTTAAAAATGTGAAGGAAGGTTTGAAGCAATTAACAATGACAGCTTACCCAACTAAGGAAAAATCAAGGAATAGAAACAGTGGGGCAATATCAATTGAACACTCAACGGTTTATTTTAGAGATGAGTGTGAGGTTTTGGAAGACTGAGAATTGAAATCTGGATGAATGTTTCATCCGCAAAAAACTTTATGGATTACATGAACTGAAATATGTTTAAGTTGTATGTCGATTTAGAATTACACATTTATCTCTAAGGTTTTTTTTTTATTTGAAAAACATATTTTCAAATACATTCTTGTTTTTATTCTTATTATTTGTTATGGTTGTTATGAATAGATATGATCGAAGAGAAACAAAATTTAAAAACAACTCAGCTATTAGTTAAATTAAGAAGGGTCATGGTAAAGTTGTTCGAAATTATCTACTGTAAGGAATAGTTAAATTAATGGTTTAATGATGGCATTGATTGATAGCAAGGGATCCATCTTCGGTGTCTCCATGTTGCTGTTGTTTCTGCTCTTCTTGTGTTCCTTTGAGCCGCTTTCTTGCTTGATTGCTTTGGCTTTTGCACTTCCGTATACAAAACTACACGCCACAACCTACAAAACCCACGATGCAAGTTTCGATTTTTAAAATCAAGAATAGAGAAACCATTCAAAGAAGATCTCTACAACATAGAGCCAATGCTATCAAAAGCAACTCTATTGTGGTTTAAGTTTCAATGATAAGTTACTATGTTTCTTTGAGGTTTAAGTTTCAGTGAGAGCAACTGCAACTCTAAATGTATCAATGGATTGGTTAATACTAAACATGAGAGAAATTTGAAACCTGGCTGCAATAAGCGTTCCAACACCGCCACCAATAAGACCGCCATTGGAGCTTTAGAGAGATACACTAATATCGCCTGTTCAGCTTTTAGGCCCACCTTCTTCATTCATCAGGTAAGATCTTCCTATGCTTAGCATCTAAAAATGCCCCTACACAGCAACAGCAATAAGAATGACCAAGGACTTTGTTTGAGAGGAAACAAGAGATGAAATAAGTGATACTCAGAAAAGATTGGACCTGAAAAGATAGATGAGGCACTGAGGATCTGGTTTGACGTAGCGTCACGGAAGAAACCGTTTCGATTCCTGACATTATACAAAGGGATCATGGCCTTTGCAGTGAAAACGACAGGATTTTTGAAACTTCGTGATCAAATGAAAAAGACTTTTAATAAAAACACATAATAAACAATGTCCTTCTCAGATCTTCTATTTCTCTTCGTGTAACACAGTTGATCATGGAACGCATCACGGAATCTAGACAGAAGGCGAGACGGATCATGTCACGGTCACTATGGTCTTGCATCAACAAGAGATAACTGATGATATTTGATGTTTTCTCTGGTTCATTGTTGGATCCTGTCGTGCAAAACATTCATAGCTTCTGTGAAATTCATCTTTAAGAACCTTTATTTTGCTGTCTCAAAACCCCTCCCTACAGAGCAAAATCATTCAAGATTTTCATTATTTCCAAAACTCTTATACAAATGAATTAAAAAGTAACATATGACACGTTAAAACCAAGAAGAGTAGAAGAATGAAACTCACTCATAAAGGCACTACACAATGTTGATGGATAGATAGAAGACGAACAGTGAGATATCTAAGTTGATTGAATTATCTTCTTGCAATCAGAGCATTGTTTGTGTTGAAGATTTCCCTTCTCTTCTTCTTCAACTTCCGCTGACTTTGTTATGTGTGTCTGTTTTAACACAGTTTCTAGACAAGTAGAACAGAACACAACAAACATTCTTAAAAAAGACAAAACAGTGAGACAACAGTTTTTTCACTTCACTTTGCCCTCTCTCTCTCTCGCATATATAGTATACACAGATCTGATACCTATACTTGTATATTCCAAAACTCGTATTTCAATATAATAAAGTATTACCAAACTATGATAGCATCACGCGGATCTGATATCTCTACCTCCGTCACCGAAATCTCCGGCCATCGATTCTCACCGCTGCGCATAATCATCCGTCAGGGAAAAATCAGCTTCGTAGTTTGTTTCTCACCACCGGATTACGATTTCTCTGCCTCCGTCACCGAGATCTCCGGCGATCGATTCTCACCGCTGCGCATGATCATCAGGGTAAACTCCTCTTCCCTTTATTGTCCCGAGATTTAGACAAAATTTTATTCACTCACAAGCATATGTGACTCCCGTGGTTTGTTTTATTTCAACTTAACAAATTTACCATTGGAAAGATAAAGAGTGATGACAGCCCGGCCCAATGAATTTTAAAGTCCTTGGGCAAAAAATTTTTTGGACCCTTTAATATCAAAAATCGAAATTTTGGATCTTTCAATATTAAAAATCGAAATTTTGGACTTTTTAATATCAAAAATTTAAATTTTTAGGCCTTTTTCTAATGATTTTGTCAATAAAAAAATAATTTAAATAAAAAATATATTTTATTAAATCAATATTTCGAAAATAGGCTCTTAAATGTACAGTATTATCTGAAATTTGGTCTGAGCCCCTGGACGGACGCACCTCTGCCCATCCCTTTGAGCCGGGCCTGAGTGATGAATGGTGGAAGAAGACGTTCGGAAAAAGAAAAGAATTACTTGACTAAAGTGAATCGTCATTTTGCGATAGATTTTTTTGTTTTCTTCGTTTTCAATTTTGTTTACTAATGTGTCACAAAAAAAGTTAAAACAGAAAAAAAAAGCTGAGGTGTCATGGAGGAGGTGCTGATGTGTCATTCCTTGTGAGACACACTTAGTCTTTATATAATAGACTAGTTGGTGATCCGCGCTATGCGCGGCTATGTGAATTATTTTTATATACTTTTTGGTATTATACTTGTTGTATCGTATATCCTTGAAACTTTTAAGATGAATTTCTATTTCTCACCTGTACATGACTCGAATTTTCTATTTTTTTGAAACTCTAGTTTGTGATCTATCCAACACAGCGAATTTGATAATCATTTTATGTAATTTTTATATTGTATTTATTGTATCATATAGCTCTGAAGATTTTATGATTTGTTTATTATTTTTATATTGTGTTTGTTATCAATTCAAAATTATTTGGTTAAATTCAAACAAATAAGAAAATATAACATATGTGATATTAAGTATCCGAAATATCCATTTGAGAGTTAAAATTCTTAAAATTATATAATGTTCTAAAATTTCTTCGACTTTTCTGAATTTTCCCAAAATATTTATTATTAAGTTGACTTTCATCCAAATTATTGAGAATTTGTCAATAGATTTTAGATAATGCAATTTCTCAAACATGTCTCGTTATCCGAATTTTCTATTCCATTTTTATTGAATTTTCTTTGGAAATCGTTTTCCGTCTTTTTAATTACTAATTTCTATCACACACTCGTAAATTTCTACCTTGAATTTTGATATACCCAGAGCTAATGTATATCATTATTTTTGGTTTTTATTTTATTTTGGAATTTGATGATTTTTTATTTTCTAACAACATATTATAGTTTAAATTTTTATGTTTGCTATTTTTATATTGAATGTTAATATTAGTTTTTATTGTTTTCTGTCTTTCTAATTGTCAATGTTCGTTAGACACTCGTAAATTTCCGCATTGAATATTGAAATAAACAGAACTAATGTATATTATTATTTATTAGTTTTTTATATTGTATTTTTATTTTTATTTTTTTATTTTATGACAACATATTGCAATTGTCTTTTTTATGTTTCCTATTTTTTAATATTGAATATTAATACTTTTTTAATATTTTTCGTCTTTCTAATAACCAATTCCCGTTACATACTAGTAATCCGCCTTGAATCTTGATTTACTAATAGCTAATGTATATCAGTATTTTTTTAAAGTACTTTGTTGATTTTTGTATTTTCTGACAACACATTGTAATTGTGTTTTTATGTTTGCTATTTTTTATATTGAATGTTAATATTTTTTTTTAATTGTCAATTCTCGTCACACACTTGTAAATTCCTATTTTAAATCATGAAATACTCGGAGCTATTGTATCTCTTATTTTTTGTTTTGTTATTTTGTATTTTGTTGATTTTTATTTTCTGATAACACATTACAATTGTCGTTATATGTTTGTTATTTTTTATATTGAATGTTAATGTTAACTTTTATTGTTTTCCATTTTTCTTATTATCAATTCCCATCTCACACTCGTAAATTTTCACAGTAAATTTTGAAATACTGTCAGCAGCCCGCTGTCTCTTCATCTAAGCTTTAATAATTTATCTCCATATATAGCTAAATTAAACCAATCGTCTACATATATCTATTTTCAGCTTCATCATAACTAATTAAATCCATATTTTCCAAACAAAACTGAATACTTTAAGGCCCAATTCATATTGAGAGTTTTGGTGTACCCCATGCCCAAAAAAACAAATCATCGGAACCCTACACATTCATCTCCTATGGCGGCCGCATCAGCTTATCTCTTTCTCAGTAGAAGCTGCTATTCGTAACGACAACTCCACAGCTATAACGCCAACCATTAATTCCACGTTCCTTCATTATACCACCTTCAATGCGACCCCCACTACTCAACTCGCACACTCAATTGCTCCCCTTCATCCGCCCTACAAATACCATCCTAAAGCTTCCCTCATCTCTCCATATTTTCACCCCAAAATTATCTCAACAACAAAATCATGGCAGGTACCTATATTTAATATCATATATTTTATGATCGAGCTGTTTTCAATCATAAAATACTTAGAGCTAATGTATATCATTATTTTTTTGTTTTGTTATTTTGTATTTGGTTGGTTTTTATTTTCTGACAATACATTATAATTGTGTTTTTATGTTTGTTATTTTTTATATTGAATGTTAATGTTAATTTGTATTGTTTTCCGTTTTTTTAATTACCAATTCCATCATACACTTGCAGAAATCAGCCTTGAATATTAAAATACTTAGAGCTAATGTATGTAATTATTTTTTAGTTTTATTTTATTTTATTTTATTTTCTGACAACATATTATAATTGTCTATTTATTTTTGTAATTTTATATTGAATATTAATATTTTATGTATTATAATTACCTTTGAATATTTACTATTTTCTTATATTGAATGTTAATGTTATTTTGTGTTTTAAAAGAATTTAAATGAAAAATAATTAATGAAGGGATTGTTGAGGTGGCAGCACCAGAAGAGAGAAAAGTTTACTTTATATTGAGAGTTTTGGTGTACCCCAGACCCAAAAAAACAAATCATCGGAACCCTATACATTCATCTCCTATGGCGGCCGCATCAGCTTATCTCTTTCTCAGTAGAAGCTGCTATTCGTAACGACAACTCCACAGCTGTAACGCCAACCATTAATTCCACGTTCCTTCATTATACCACCTTCAATGCGACCCCCACTACTCAACTCGCACACTCAATTGCTCCCCTTCATCCGCCCTACAAATACCATCCTAAAGCTTTCCTCATCTCTCCATATTTTCACCCCAAAATTATCTCAACAACAAAATCATGGCAGGTACCTATATTTAATATCATATATTTTATGATCGAGTTGTTTTCAATCATAAAATACTTAGAGCTAATGTATATCATTATTTTTTTGTTTTGTTATTTTGTATTTGGTTGGTTTTTATTTTCTGACAATACATTATAATTGTGTTTTTATGTTTGTTATTTTTTATATTGAATGTTAATGTTAATTTGTATTGTTTTCCGTTTTTTTAATTACCAATTCCATAATACACTTGCAGAAATCAGCCTTGAATATTAAAATACTTAGAGCTAATGTATGTAATTATCTTTTAGTTTTATTTTATTTTATTTTATTTTCTGACAATATATTATAATTGTCTATTTATTTTTGTAATTTTATATTGAATATTAATATTTTGTGTATTATAATTACCTTTGAATATTTACTATTTTCTTATATTGAATGTTAATGTTATTTTGTGTTTTAAAAGAATTTAAATAAAAAATAATTAATGAAGAGATTGCTGAGGTGGTAGCACCAGAAGAGAGAAAAGTTTATTTTATATATACAAATAAAGATAATAACTCGTGCTTGCTTTGATGAATCAAACAAAAGGAAAAAAAATAATAATAATCAACTTAATCCCCACGAAAAAGACACACCTAAACAAAACCTATTCTGTGAAAAAATATCAAAACCTATTCTAGAATTTTGTTTTGGGTATTTGAAAGCAGAAAGTATATTATTTACATTTTTATGTAAGAAAAAAAATTACGAATGGGACAGAAGAGAAACTCAGTACCGTTCCCCTCCGGCTTCGTTACGCATCGGTGAATTTAATCCGTTTCTCAAAGTTAACCGATGATTTCGGGCCTGATGTACAGGCGACCGGAACTTAAGATGTTGATCACTCTTAGGAACATTGCGAGGCTTGTCACAATTTTGGACACCTCTCTCTTTAACTTCAAGGCTTGGCTTGATGGGCGTGGGAGAGACCGTGTAAGTGAATGTCCCAATGGGAATATCATCGTTGTAATCTTTAATATCTTGGAGAACTGAAACAACGTTGCTGATGCATGGCCTGTTCTTTGGTCGGTAGCTTAGGCATTGGTAAGCCAAAGCCGCTGTTTTTCTTGCTCCTATCTCTGAGTACTGATCTTCAAGTCTTGGGTCCATTATTCTCCCGAGCTTTCGTGGGTCGTTGAGCATTGGACGAGCCCAATCAACGAGGTTTTGTTCCCTTGACGATCTCTTTTTGTCTACTGATCTCCGACCGGTCAAGAGCTCAAGCAAGACAACCCCGAAGCTGTATACGTCACTCTTTGCCGTTAGATGGCCTGTCATTATGTATTCTGGCGCCGCGTACCCATGCGTGCCCATCACGCGTGTCGATACGTGCGTTTCATCCCCTTCTGGTCCGTCTTTTGCTAGCCCGAAATCGGAAAGCTTCGCTGTATAATCCTGAAATAAAATTTGATTGAAAAATCAAACCTTTCATTTAATCCAACAATTAGGCTTCAAATGGTATCAACAGATTAGCCACCCATTTGCGGTTAAGACCCCTTTATTTCCATCAGTCACAATTTTTATCTATCATCTATATTGATGCTGTCCCTCTTGACCAGTATAGACATCAACTAACGTAAGTGTCTTGACTAATGTTGCTACAGATCTTCAATGATTAGTTTGCCTTTCGGGCTAGGGTCTATTTCGGTCATAAAAGAAAAGATATAAAAAAATACAGTAGACCGCTCCAAAAGTTTTATATCAATAAAGAAAAAATTGAATTTGTTTGCTTACAGAATCCAACAAGATATTCGAGGCCTTGAAATCGCGGTATATGACCGGCTTCTCTGCTTCATGAAGAAATTGGAGACCCTTTGCAGCTCCATGAGCTATCTTCATCCTCGTTAACCATGGCAGCGTTATAGAACACCCTGAAAATGAAACATTTTTATTATTTTACGGTTATTTTCATTATTCTACGATTATAATTAGCAATCCAACGGGTTAATGGTTTGTAGTAATGACTCAAACTCACTTCTGAATAGTTGAGACTCTAAACTACCACGAGGCATGAACTCATAGACAAGAAGTCTATGTTCTTCCTCGCAGCAATACCCAATCAACTTCACAAGATTCGGATGCTTTAATTTTCCGAGAGTTATAACCTCCGTCTGAAAAATTTACCCCCAAGAAAATTAGACATTTTTAAAAACTCAATATTTCGTAAAGAAACAGAGGATTAGGGAAATGAATGTACGGACCAGCCACTCACGGTGACCTTGAAGGCCATCAAGATCGAGAATTTTGACGGCGACAGGCTGAGCTTTAAGACCAGGACGTAGCTTATCGTCGATGAACCCTTTGTGAACCGGACCGAACCCTCCTTCGCCGAGGAAGTTGCTTGAAGAGAAGCTCTGTGTTATGACTTTGAGCTCTGCCTGTGTGAACACGTGGAGATCGGAGCCGGCGAGAGAGATTGAAAGATCTTCAGACAAGGTTGTGGAACCTGGATCGCTTATGTCTAGAATCGATAATCCCAGAAATGATTTCTGTTTCGTTATTGCACCATCACCATCATCTTTCTTTGCCTTTTTTGATGAATATAGGTTGTCTTGATCCAGGAAACACGCAACCATTTGTGATAACCAAGATATTTTCTTCTTCACCGCCATTGTTTTGTTTTTTTTGTTTCTAATGGTTTGGTTTGTGATGGGAGAGAAAGGTTTTAAAGTAAACGAGGAGAGACCAAGACTTTTATATTATTTCTAGATATATATAAATGTAATGTACTCGGTTTCTTTCCTCAAGACCTTTTCTTACCAAAAAGGCAAAACAAGATATTCTCGTAAATGGAAATAATAGTATTAAAAGAGAAAGAGGGCGACGACTTCGTGAGGTGGGTTTATACTTCTTTCTAAAACTTTAACAGCGCCTGACATTGTCATTTAATTTCTATTTAGACGAGTGAGTTCATAGTCGTGAGTGGGTGGCTAAAGGGAGAAGAAAATGACACGTTTATCATTTTTTCCTCTCGAATTATGATTTATGAATACACTATTACTTACAATGATTCCTTTTTAGCTGTAGATATAAAAGAAAATACCTTTTTATAGTTAAGTTTATGCTCCAAATTTTGCTAGGCATTAATTTGATGTTTAAATTAAATTTCGCGTCTAGAGAAAAAATCAAAAAAATTATCAACGATTTAGTTAGGATAAATTTATGAAACTTTTATGCAAAAATTACAAATATGTTGGCATAGTCCAATGGATCTTTATGTGTTTTCGATCACCACGTCCTTGGTTCAACGTGCGGCTTATAGTTCTTTTTGCTTTCGTATTCTTCTTAATGTTGTCGATTTTTGCAACTTTAATTTGTGGTCCATCAAGGCATGTCAACCAACATCAAATGATAGAATTTTTTTGTAAAAGATTTTTCTTTCATTTCTAGTTCATTCATTAAGAAAAGTCACTACGTAATTTTTGGGTTAGTGACATTATGACATATGTCAAATTCCATCAAAAGACAGAAGTGAGAACTCTTAGCTTCTTGTGTTCCAGCCTGCTTGGGAGGAAAGACGATTCATTGAAGGATGAAGATTCAACTGCTGGTTCTGGCCAGGAGAAATGTACATACCCAAATAACTGGAACTTTAGACCTATCAACAAAATAATAATAAAAGAAAAATACAGACCCTAGTGTTATCTTCATCTACAAGATCATTTGACACTAAGCGGATATAATATTGATTAGGAATACCGAATACAACTTAAATAGCGTTCTAGAAGAATGCAAGAAGTTAGGAAATGGTCAAAATTAAAAATCAATTGGGAAAAGGCGCAGAAATTTCATTTAACTAGAAGTTATTTGGTAGAATTGCACTATACGAGTGAGTCAAGCTTCTAGAATACTTGATAAATTACTATACAAATTATGACATCTTATTATTGAAAAAGGTATGAAAGGTACTTGCCACCGCGTTGGCGAAGGAGACATGTTCATGTCCAAACATGACTTAGGAAATTCGCTTTGTCCAGTTTGAGTTGACATTTTCTTGGTCCCACAAAATTGCTTTGGAAATCTGTGTATCGAAGCGGTTTTCAAACGAGATTTAATAGAAATTGCTTACGTTGACTTTAAGTATAAAATCTTCGGTTTTTTTTTAAATTAGTTAATTATTTAAATTTATGTGTTAATTTCAAAACTTCAAATAGATTAGTCTCAAAAACTATCTCAATTCAGAACTGTTGGATAAGCTTCTATAGCTTGAAGCAAAAATGATAAGATAGACTTAAAGGAAATTGACTAGTTTTTCTAGGAATAGGAAAGTATGTTTTCTTATTTACCATAAGAATAGAAAAAGAAGTTCTATACCTAAAAATATGATTACTGAGTTGTGGTAAATCATTAAGAGAGTTAAGAGAGCTTTGTGTTTAGTTTTGAGCTATTTTCTAAACATCAATAAAGAGAGTTATTCTTTAAACAAAGCTAAGTTATCTTTCTGAAACTATATTTGGTAGCAGAGTGGTATTATTCTAAGAAAATACGAAGATCATATCGTATAGTCGTCGAACCCGAGCCATGTGGGATGTAGGAACTTCAGCGGAGAAGAAGGAGCCTGTACAAGCATCAATACTATGTCCGATGCTCAACTCGACGAACTACACCGTGTGATCAATGCGGATGAAGGTTACTTTATGAGTTAGAAATGTTTGGGAAGCTATCGACCCAGGAACAAACGAAGCTGAGAAGAACGATGTTGCAACAGCTCTGCTGTTCCAATCAATACCAGAAAGTCTCATCCTTCAAGTTGGCGATCAAGACTCACCAAAGGAGATATGGGAGGCAATCAGATCAAGACACCTAGGGGCGGACAGAGTAAAAGAGGCGTGACTCCAAACCTTGATGTCTGAGTTCGAACGGTTGAAGATGAAGGAGTCCGAGACAGTAGATACCTTCGCTGGCAAGATATCAGAACTCGCATCAAAGTCTGCATCTTTAGGTCAAGTACTTGATGAACCTAAACTAGTTAAGAAGTTTCTCAACAGCCTACCAAGAAACAAATTCATACTTTGACATCATCGCCTCTCTAGAACAAGTATTGGACCTTAACAAGACCACATTCGAGGACATTGTTGGACGACTCAAAGCATACGAGGAGCGTATACTTGATGACACAAGTCATGGCGAATCACAAGGAGACTTAGTGTTTACAAAAACAGAGTTTCACGGAGAAAACTCAAGAGAACCAGGAAGAGGAAGAGGAAGAGGACGAGGAAGAGGTTCTCGTGGAAGAGGTTCTCGCGGTAGAGGTCGGGGAAGATCCAATACTCAAGACCGAAGCGAAGAAAAGAAAGAGAGACCTGATGTTGTATGTTATCGCTGTGATAAAGCAGGACACTTTGCATTAGTGTGTCTTGAAAGAAAGCAAAAACTCCGTGAGTTACACAAAGTGGAAACAGAAGAAGACGAAGGGGAAGCACTTTACACGCACGAAATTGTCTTCCTTAACGAAGATAAATTCATCCCTACGAAGTTTGAAGTTGAGAAAGAAGGGAATGGTATTTGGTATTTAGACAATGGTGCGAGTAATCATATGACTGGAGTAAGATCTTTCTTCTCGAAATTGAATGAAAAGATCAGAGGAAAAGTCAAGTTTGGTGATGATTCGTGTGTTGATATCAGCGGGAAAGGATCGATAATGTTTGAAGGAAAAACCGGTGAACAGAGACTCATGACTGACATCTATTACATTCCAGATTTAAAGAGCAATATAATCAGTCTAGGCCAAGCCACAAAATACGAATGTGATGTTAAAATGAAAGGAGAACATCTAACATTACGAGATCCAGCAGGAAGACTTTTAGTGAAAGTATCCCGATCACCTAATCGATTATACAAGATAAATCTCAGAGTTGGGAAACCTATATGTCTGCAGTCAAGAATCGAAGAAGATAATTGGAGGTGGCACGCTAGACTTGGACATATAAGCTTTAAATCAATAGAGTCGATGTCAAACCTGGAGCTGCTTCACGGTTTGCCGAAGATCAACGGAGAAAGACAAATTTCCGAATCCTGTCTAGTCGGTAAAACAACGAGACAAGCATTCTCTAAAGCAACTCAGTATCGATCGTCTTCTCTCCTGGAACTGTTACATGCAGACTTGTGCGGACCCATTACTCCAGCTACACTTGCGAGAAACAGTTATATCTTCGTCATCATTGATGATCACACAAGATATATGTGGTCTATTCTACTAAAGGAGAAGAGTGATGCTTTTATAAAGTTCAAAACATTCAAGAACGAAGTAGAGAGAGACCTTGGAAAGATGATCCTGACACTAAGAACAGATAGAGGTGGCGAGTTTACATCAAGCAAATTCCAAGACTTTTGTAACAAGAATGGGATCAAACGGCACTTGAAAGCTCCTTACACTCCGCAACAGAACAAAGTAGTCGAACAAAGAAACTGTATGCTGATGGAGATGACTCAAAGCATTCTTATGGCGATGAATGTTCCGAATTATCTATGGGGAGAAGCAGTTCATCATTCCACCTATCTGATAAATAGAGTTCCTACCAGAGCTCTAAACAATCAGACACCCTACGAATGCTTGAGAAGCAAGAAACCCAATATCGAGTATCTAAGAGTTTTCGGCTGCGTAGCTCACGCCAAAATAGACTCCAATCAGTTAAGGAAGCTCGATAATCGATCTCAGGCTTTAGTTCATCTCGGGACAGAAGCTGGCTCTAAAGCTTATAGAGTTTACAATCCAATAACAAGAAGAATTGTTGTAAGTCGAGACGTGATTTTCAATGAGAAGACTTGTTGGAATTGGAAGGGAGCTGAGAAAGACAAGCAATCTGATTCAAGGATGTTTCGAATGACATGGGGAGACGTCATTGACAACGGACATGTTTAGTTTGTAGTTAGAAATCAACAAAACATACCTGAGGCAGGCGATCCACATCAAGAAGAAAATCATCAAGATCAAGGTGATGAAATGGACGAAAAATCCAACGCTGGATCACCACAACAACCACCTACACCACCATCACAACAACAACAACAAGTGGTTCAAGCACAACCACAGCTAAGAAAGTCAGGGCGTGAATCAAATCTCCCTAGTTACCTTGGTGATTTTTTTCTTTATCAGTGTGATATTGAATGTGAGAAGCTGCTGTTATCGATCAATGACAAACCGGTTAGCTACAAAGAAGCAAAAGACTCGCTGGAATGGACGAATGTGTGTGTGGATGAGATTGATTCCATTAATAAAAATCAGACATGGGTGCTACTCGATAAACCAGCTGGTGCAAAAGTGATTGGTCTTAAGTGGATTTTTAAGATCAAAAGGAATGCAGACGGCACTATAAACAAGTACAAGGCGAGACTTGTAGCAAATGGATATGTGCAGAAATCTGGTATCGACTTCGACGAAGTATTTGCACATGTCGCTCGCATTGAAACTATTCGAATGCTTATCAGTTTGGCAGCTTCACACGGTTGGGAGATTCATCATCTCGATGTCAAGACTGCGTTTCTACACGGCGAGCTGAATGAGAAAGTATATGTCTCACAGCCTGAAGGATTTGAAAAGAAGGAAGAGGAACATAAGGTTTTCAAATTGTCGAAAGCTTTATATGGATTGAGACAAGCTCCACGAGCATGGAATACAAAGCTTGATCAAATTTTGAAAGGAATGAAGTTCAAAAAGTCTTCAAAGGAGAGCTCAGTATATCGAAAGGAAGAAGGAGCAATACTTCTCATTATAGCCGTGTATGTTAATGATATATTCGTGACAAGGAGCACCCTTGCGATCATTAA